GTACCTTGCTTTTATTTTGGCACCTGAGATAAATTGCGAGTGTCTAATGAATATCTAACTGCCAGGTACTAAATAACTAGTAGTTTAACCTGTTCTTTCTTTGCTCCTGGAGCGTGGGCACCCAGGAAAAAAATGCTGTTATTAATCAGGCAAAGTGTCTTGACTTCCTCTTCAGTGGCTCAGTCGCAGGGTCCATGTGTCCTGCTGGGGGGTGATGCTGCCATGGGTCAGGGCTGTGATGATGGTCCTCCTCCTCCTCCTCCTCTTCCTCCTCCTGTGCTGCCTTTCAGGGGCTCGTACCTTCTGCAGTTTCTTCCCACGTGCAGATGGACTTCCAGCCCATCGCAGTTGTGAAGGAAAAACGTGTTAGCAAAAAATGCTAGGAAATTCCCTCATTAAAAAGTGTTGCCTCTTACTAAAATATCTCCCAGGATAGGGGAACTCGTGTAATTACTTTGCTGTGGTTGAACTGGCAAGGGATGGCTTCCTGCTGTTTGACATCGGCGCTGCTGGTAACGCTGCTCCGTCCACTCGCCCTCCACAGCATTTACTTTGTTTTCCAGCTGTTCCGATTTCAAAGGCTCCTCATGGATAAGAGCAGAAGGAAAGGGCTCTATAAGGGGCAGTAATATGCAAAATACCACTCGGAGATGCTGCGGGGCCTTAGTTTGAGATGCCTTGTTCTATTTGTGGAGCGGAGTGAGTGTGTGTGAAAAACAGGAGCTTAAGTTCTCAGGGTTTCATACAACCTCTTTTTTTTCTTTTTTTTCTTTTGTTTCTCGTTTTGATCTGTGAGATCTCACACCCCCTCTCTGGGTTTTAAAGCCCCACTCGGACGAAACCACAGAGTTTCGGGTGATTTCTAGCTGAGCTGGGACCTTTCTCTGAAGCAGAGCTGCCCAACCTCCTGCAGGGGCCCTGCAAAGCAGCGGGTGAATTTGAGCTGATTTCTGGGTTTTCCCAGAGCTCTCTGAGCGTCTCTAACCAAACCATTCTACAACGTGGAAGGGAGGATCTGTAAGATACAGCTATGAAATAAAATAAACTATTTGTGTAGACCTGGAGTTTGCCATACTGTATTCCCGGGGTGACTTAATCACTGATTGCTGCTGTATAAATGAATGGTACTGGGAGGTTAGTGGGCTGCTGCTTATTCAAATCATTAAAAACTCTCTGCTAATAACTCTATCCCCAAAGTGTTTGGTGGCTTCAAATCAATAGTTGAACGTTGATGATTCATCTTGTTTTCCGAGCAATTTCCATGGAAGCTGCTATCACCTTCTCTCGAGGTGTGTCCCCCTCCTGCCCCTCAAGGTGCTGGTTGGCCGTTCCGCTTCGTTAGCTAATTTGGGGTCAGCAAGGCCAAGACAAGTACTTTAATCTCAACAACAGTCAGCAGCCTTAGTCAGCCTCCATATTCCTGGAGGTTCCCTGAGATAAAACAGAAGTTACTGGTTTTTTAGTTTGAGTAAACTCAGTAGAGTTTTTCTACCCACATTAAGGACACTTTTTTGGTTGGTTTTTTTCTTGTGAAGTCCAAACTTCCTGAAATTGGCTTCCTGTGACGTCACTGCCGTATGTCAGGCCTTTACCATTAGGAGTAGAGCTCAAGGGGAGGTGAACAAGGGCATCTAGACAGTACCAGTTATCAAGAGAGGGTCTGGTTAGGGGAGAGCTGGGGCTTTGGTGGGGTCTCTCTTCCCCTCCCAGTCACTGAAGAGTAAGTTCAGCATCTCCAGGTGGTTCTTTTAATAGGGCACCAAAGATGATGGAGGGATTGGAGCATCTCCCTGATGAGGAAAGGCTGAGAGAGCTGGGACTCCTTAGCCTGGAGAAGGCTGAGGGGAGACCTTATTAACACTGACCTGAATAGATGCAACCAATTTTGAGGGGAGTATCAAAAAAAAAAAGGGATCAAACACACTCCCAAACTCCAGCATTTGAAGGTCACCTAGAAACTGCGGCAGCTCTTCTGACTGGGGGGATCTGGAAACCCAGTGGTCCTCACTGGGAAGGGGCTAACTCGTGCTGTTGGGTTCAGCTCTTGGCTACGTTCAGTAACACGTTTTAATGATCTGAGACTCCTTTGCCTGAGGAAATCCCTCTATTCCCTCCCTTCCTCCCCTTAGGGAAGGGAGCTGTGTTTATTGTGGGAGAAGAAACGAGGAGAGGCCCTGGTTATGGTAGAGGAGGCAACGGGGAGATGAAGAGAGAAGCCAGGGGAGGGCTGGGGTGGGAGTTGTTCAACTGGGGAGTGATGGGAAGCGATGGGATTGGGAGTGATGGGCTTGGAGGGACTGGGGGGACCGAGGGGAGAGCGGGACAGGGCTTTGAGAGTGAGGAGATCTGGTGCCAGGTACAGCGGAGGTGGGAAGGAGAAGGAGAGAGGCTGCACGGGAGGAGCGGGAACTGGGGCTGGGACTCTTCAACCTGGAGAAGAGAAGGCTGAGGGGAGACCCCATTAATGCTGACAAGGATCTAAAGGGTGGGTTGAGGGATGATGGAGCCAGACTCTTTTCCGTGGTTCCCAGTGACAGGACGAGGGGCAACGGGCACAAGCTGGACCATGGGAAGTTCCACTCCAATCTGAGGAAGAACTTCTTTGGGGTGAGGGTGGCAGAGCCCTGGAAGAGGCTGCCCAGGGAGGGTGTGGAGTCCCCTTCTCTGGAGATCTTCAAGCCCCACCTGGATGCTCCTGAGTGATGTGCTCTGAGCAACCCTGCTTTGGCAGGGGAGTTGGACTGGATGATCTCCAGAAGGTCCCTTCCAACTCCAACAACTCCATGATCCCATGAAACCCCCTGCGGCCGTGACCCACATGGGGATGAGTCAAGGCACAAGTCCAGGAGGGATCACCGCTGCTAGAGCCTGCTTTGAAAACATCGACAAACAAGACAGAAATGAAACAAATGACTGGGAATCAGCTCCCATGAAGCAGAAGGTGCCAATATAATTTTAACGAGGTATCCAGCAGAAAACGTCCTGGGATGGTGTTTCCCAGCGGTGCCTTGCCAGGCTGGTTTGGGCAGGGATCTCGTTCCCCATTCACTGCTCCGAGGAGATAGATCTGCTCTGGACATTAACTGGGGCAGTGTGGCAAAGGACATTGCCTGTGCAACTCCTGTTTTATTTACTCAGGAGGCTGGAATGCCAGGCACGGACAAGGCAGGGTTTTCTCCAAGAGGAAGGATGGTGTTTCGTGGCCAAGAGGGTTGAATGGAGAACTAACCTCCCGTCACTGCCCCTGCTCCTGTGTTCCCAGGAAGTCACCCAAGCCAAACTTGCCCGAAGTGGCTACTGATGGCACGTTCCTCGTGATCTTTGAATGCCCAACTCGAATCCATCAGAGGGGGCTTGGCTCCGGGTGCCGGGAAGGAGCGATAACCTGGGAACACGGGGGATGCTCCAGGGGTTTGGTGCCCATCTCCTTCTCTTATTTCATTAGCTGTGAAGGGAGTTCATTAGGAATCCTCATTAAACTAAAGGACACTTTGGGTGCGTGGTGTTGCCGTGCATAGTATTTCTGTAAAATACTAGTATTTGTTTAAATGCTTTTGTGCATTATTTTCAAGCAGCTCCCCTGCTGCGTTACCGTTGTTAGAGACAGAGCCTGTCCGTGGGGCTAAACCTCCTGCAGCCCCGTCGGTAAGAAACTATTCCAAAGCAGGGGGTTAATGGAAATGAACACAAAATCTGGTGTTTCTCTCACCAGTTTTGTCCCAAACACACACCTATTCTGGGAGGAAACGCAGTGTTTCACTGAAGCTCCAGTGCCATATTTTGATTTCCTAGGAAGGAAGAAGCCAAACGCTAATGACATGATTTTACCTTCGTCCATTTCATTGTCTTTTAATTTTTCCTTTCCTTTGACCCTACCTTTTCTTTTTTTTTTTTTTTTCCCATCTTGAAATAGATGGGAAAGTATTATCGTATCCCACGAGATTTTGAGAGAATTAATTGCTGGTAAAAGCATGTTAAGAGCTTTTGATGACTGAAGTAATTTGCAATGACACAGGGTCTAGTAGGGGTAGAGGGAAATCTAAGTCTGAGGAAAAAAATAAGTTTTTTAATCAGGAGGCCCCTCACGAGCAGAATACAGTCTTGCCACGCTTAGGACTCAGTGGGCTTTTCCTCATTTTGGTGGTGTGCTGTGTGATTTTTAAAATGTACTTTTTTGGGTGAGTTCTGAAATGGATCATCAGGAAGGTTGGTGTGAAACACTGAGCACCTTTTCCATTTCTGTGTCACTGAACTTACTTTGCTCTCTTAAGAAAGAAAAATTGCTAAGTCTCTTCCTGGTAAAACAGTGGTTTTCTTTAGACCGCAACCTTTTAATTAACCCCTTTTTTCCCCCACACCCGGACTTTTCAGTATCTGAGGGCTTTTATTTGGAAGGATTCCTGTTTTGCACACTAGTCAAATTTTATCTTGCCTCCAACCACACAGATCCCCTGATGTCAGTGCATTTCTAGTGTTGTAGTTATAAAAACAAAAGCAGCATTTGTTGCAGCTTTTTAAAAAATATAATTTCTCAGCACTGTGGAAAGTGACCTATTCTGAAAGTTTACTCAAAAAAAAAGGAATGAAATCTTTTATTTATGATAAAAAATGTTCCTGCATGAAAGGATCAAATAGACAATGTGAAGGTGGAGCAGTTGAAGGGTCTTGTCATCAGAATTAATACAGTTCAGAGAAGTCACCTGCTTTGATTACTGAAGCTGCTGTGGGTGATGGAACTGTGTGTTTGTCTCCATAGACAATGTAGTCCTGAGCCTGTTGCTCATGGGCCGCTCTGATGTGTGTCCTCAGAAGTTCTGCCAACCAGGACCTCCAGATTATGCCCAAGAGCTGATTTTAGTCTTGTCATATGTCTCTATTAATGATATATACCATCCAGCTTTCTCCTTACTATTTCTTGTTTGGAATCCCACGTTGCAAATAATTCTCCTTCCTTTCTTCTTCCTGACCCACGTGTTTCTTCTCCTCCTGTTCCCCTGCAGATTGCTGATGAGCTGGGCAATGAGAAGTTCTGCATCGATGCCAACCAGAGCGGAGCCGGGAACTGGCTGAAGTACATCCGTGTGGCCTGTTCCTGTGACGAGCAGAACCTCGCCGTGTGCCACGTTAACGACCAGGTAATGACTCTGGCAATCCCTCCGTTGCTGTACTCCAACACCAGGGAGGAGATGCTGGGCGAGCAATTTCCATGGAAGCTGCTATCACCTTCTCTCGAGGTGTGTCCCCCTCCTGCCCCTCAAGGTGCTGGTTGGCCGTTCCGCTTCGTTAGCTAATTTGGGGTCAGCAAGGCCAAGACAAGTACTTTAATCTCAACAACAGTCAGCAGCCTTAGTCAGCCTCCATATTCCTGGAGGTTCCCTGAGATAAAACAGAAGTTACTGGTTTTTTAGTTTGAGTAAACTCAGTAGAGTTTTTCTACCCACATTAAGGACACTTTTTTGGTTGGTTTTTTTCTTGTGAAGTCCAAACTTCCTGAAATTGGCTTCCTGTGACGTCACTGCCGTATGTCAGGCCTTTACCATTAGGAGTAGAGCTCAAGGGGAGGTGAACAAGGGCATCTAGACAGTACCAGTTATCAAGAGAGGGTCTGGTTAGGGGAGAGCTGGGGCTTTGGTGGGGTCTCTCTTCCCCTCCCAGTCACTGAAGAGTAAGTTCAGCATCTCCAGGTGGTTCTTTTGGAAGAAGAGTCAAAACCAAATATGCATATTACAGAAACGCAGGTAGAACAGTCTCTGGGTGGGGGTGAGGGATATTACATGGGATTAATAGCATTTTGATAATGTTAGCTGATGTTTCTAAAGGTCTTTGAAGCTTAAACCCAGAAACGGGTTCAAGATGAACAATCCCAGTTGGGAGTTCTCCTAACCTCCAGTTGAGTACAATCCAAATGAGTGGGAGATGGTTTGGGATTCTGTTGAGGAGGAAGAAGAGTCAAAACCAAATATGCATATTACAGAAACGCAGGTAGAACAGTCTCTGGGTGGGGGTGAGGGATATTACATGGGATTAATAGCATTTTGATAATGTTAGCTGATGTTTCTAAAGGTCTTTGAAGCTTAAACCCAGAAACGGGTTCAAGATGAACAATCCCAGTTGGGAGTTCTGCTAACCCAGTTGAGTACAATCCAAAAAGAAGTCACTGTTTCAGACCTAATTTAAATGAGAAATGCAGTCTTAATGTTGTTACCAGGTAGCAAACAGGAGGCATATTTGGATGCACACAAAAAATGAGCTGAGGGTGGAAAAATACACATCTAACAAAAGCATTTAAAAATCTGTGGCTGCCAGGGAAGGGAGAGTCAATCTGAATTAAACCAGCTCACGGACAATGAGAGTAGCTCAGGGAACGTCCTGTTTGAAAATGCTTTTAAATAACTTAGCTTTGGATGCTGAAAAAAAAAAAAAGTATACAAGAATATCACAAATGTTGGTGATTTAAGCAATCTAGAAGAGATGGAGGCACAAAACTCTAAAATTTCCACCTCCTTAGTTCCCATGAGCTGCTGATTGCTCCTGAGCCCAACTCACCGCTGCTCCAAGGGCTCTTAAAATGAGGAGCCTTAGAACCAAGAGCCAACATTTATCATCGAGTCCGTGTCTTGGTGCTTTCTGTGACACACACTGGTCTTGGTTTCACACAATGACGGGATGAATGTCTTGGGAGCCCTTGTGTTTTCCCTCTCCTGTGACTCAGGTCTTTTACCGTCCGTCGTTCTGCGCAGAAAACCCTTCAAAAGGGTGGGGAAGCTGTTCCTGAAAATTTTTACCTGCAGCAGTAGAAGAAGCACAAATATTAAAGGAAAAGAAAAAAGCAAATACTATTTTTAATTCAGTTTTCTTTAAAAAAGTCTGAGGAAATAAACTGAGTTATTCCCAAGAATTTTTACCTGCAGCAGTAGAAGCAGCACAAATATTAAAGGAAAAGAAAAAAGCAAATATTATTTTTAATTCAGTTTTCTTAAAGTCTGAGGAAAGAAACTGAGTTCATACAGATTTTTTTACACAAATACGCATTTCTTCTTTTTAGAATACTAACTTGTACATGGATGGTTTTTCCCAGGTTCTTATAAATGCTTAGATAAGGAGTACATATACATATATATATATGGAATTTGCCAGGAACCTGAAGGCTGTATCACACTTTATTCCAAGCCCAGTCCACTGCGTGTCCTTCTGTCCTTGTCCCTCATCTGGAGGTTGGTGGTGGTGCATGTTTGTAGTTCCTGCAGCCATCTGAGTGGGAAGAACAGCTGGTTATCAGACACACACATCTGCTTTGCTTCATTATTATTTTTTTCCTCTGTAATGACCACTCTTTTAAAACTTCCTAATAAATAAATTTACTAAAAGTCAAATAAAAAGGGGTGGGCAGCAAGCAAGTGCTTCTCTTGAGGAGGAAGAAAATAAAAAGGTGCCAGGGTATAACAAAACAGCAGCAAAGCAAAGGGTTTTCTCCCCCTCGGCCTTTCTTTCCCAAAAGACTGAAGAGTCCCGGGTCAGGTCAGCTGGTGGGAATGAGAAAACCCAGTATAAAAAGCAGCAGATGATGGTGGTTGATAACTGGAGGCACTGGATGCTTTGGGGGAGAGGAGTATGGCCTGAGTAAGGATCTGCTATTTCCCAAGCTATTGATGATGGCAGCCCGTGGACCCACTGCCCCAGGGACAGTGTTTACAGCAATCAGCAGCACCTTAAAATCTGTGTGGATTTTTGTATTATTATTTATAGGAGAGAATTGAACCATGTTTGTTCTGGAATTTCCTATTCATTCCAAGTTTTCTCTCACAAAACCATCTCTCTCCACTGGTGTGGGTTGGTGGTTACTTCTGTTACTGAAACTGATAATGATTCTTTTGGATTGTGGAGCTTCAGAGGGTAGGGAGGGATGGCTGGGAGTGTGTTTGGTTCTCACAAAAACTAAAAGTGTAAGATGTAAATATAAATAGAAAAGAAGAACACCAAACATAAGCGGGTACGTCTGTGAGCTGATACCTGCTTCCACCAAACTCAGCGAGTTCATAATTCACAAGTAGCCAAGGTGCCTTTTGGGTACAAACCCCTTTATTCGAAGTTTTAGGTGCTCAAAATAAACTTACTAGATTGCAAAATCAAGTTCTTCATCCCGGTCCTAAGAAACACCGGACCACTAAATACCAACATAAAGGTGGCACACAGTTTCAGACACTGTGGTTAGATCTAGTTGGAGGGTACAATATGTTTTTACACTTCATTACTTTTTATTTCCATATGAATAATAAGGAAGTGTGTGTGGGGGGGGTGTTACAGATCATCTTCCTGAGATTTGAGCCTGTGGTGGCTTCACGGGGCCGAGGGGTTGAGCTGGATTCCTCCCAGAACTCTGGGTTTGTGTCCAGGGCTGTCATACGCTTTAAAAACAAATCCCCTCGTTTTCCCTGTGGGCTGTATTTAGAAAACTAAATTTGTGCTGCCCTCAATCTTGCTTTCTTGGGCACAAGGGGGATTCTGCTGGAGCTGGAGCTGGAGCTGGAGCATCCCATGGGTGAGAACTTTCTTGGGCACAAGGGGGATTCTGCTGGAGCTGGAGCATCCCACGGGTGAGAAGGGAGGGAGCTCAGGCTCTTCTGAGAGTGACTCCCAAAGCCAGAGACCTGCTATAAATGCTGGGTCCTACCCAGTGCCATCTCCTGACACTGCTGGCTTTAACTTTATTTAATTGTATGTTGCTAGCAGGGTACTTTTTTTTTTTTTCCATAACAGGGACTCAAAAAAGCAGGAGAAAGGCTTTATCATTGCTGCTCAGTAGGCATGGAAAGGCTTGGTTTCTGTTTGCAAGTACATAAAGAAAAGGAAAGCTTTGGCAATAAAAAGATTACCCCCAGAATAACTAAGCAGCATCGTGATGATAAAAAGCCAGGACAGGCTTTTAATCACAACCATTTGCTTTGCAGGAAAAAAATAAACATGTTTCCACGGGGAAATGGTCCTTTGCACCCCCCCAGACCAGATTCTGTTCCTCTTCACACTCCTGTAACTTGGGAACATTCCCAGCAACGTGCAGGTTTTTTTTTCACCTGGATTTTTAATGAAGCAATTGACAGCAGAAGTGGGACTTCTGAATGTTTGTTTTTTCCCCCCAATTTACAAATTAAAATGCTGCTATTTAGAAAGAGATCAGTTGAGTCATTTCATTAACTTTTTTCCAATTGCGAAACCAATTGTCAAATGTAAAATAATAATAGACAGTTTTCTCTATTCTTACTAGATAGATATTTGAAAAGCTTAGAAGATCCTTGATTGACTGAGATAATTGTGTTTCTGAGGGTCTGGAAAATAATGGTAGAAAAGTGATAGGATTTGCTAAATGCGTCTGGAAAATGATACATGACTTGGGCTTTATTTTTTCGTGCTGCTGCTGCTGCTGCCTTCCTGGGGCAACCACTTCAGCAGTTTGGCTGTTCTTATTCAGGAGTCTGTAATATTAAGCAGAGTGGATGTAATAAATACAATAGCCGGGAGCTTGCTTTCAGGGTGATAGTGGCTGCTTTTGTTTGTGTTACGTGGATTGCAAAAGGAAGGACTAACAGGAGCTGCAGTGATGGAAAAAAATCAGGCCTTTGATTTAAGAAGCCAATCTTATATGTATATTTATATATACATACATCTTACCTTATACACATGTATAATGGCAATATTTTCTATGTATTTTACATATATATCCTGTGAGTCTGGTCAGGATTCCTGGGTATGTACCACAGAGCCTTCAAAAGAGGAAATCAAAAGCAGTGTGGCTGGGCTGAAACAAAGGGAAGGCTTCTCCCAAGGAGGAAAAACATCTGAACAAAAGCAAAACGTGCAGCCCCGACCTGGGCAGGAGCACACGGGGCCAAAGTTTTACACGTTGTCGGCTCCCGGAGGCAGGGGCAGGTCTGGGAGTTGTCTCAGACCAACAGCGGGTAGAAATATTTAAATATTTGCCTTTTATTTCATCAGCTTTCCAGCACGGTTAGCTTTTTTTTTTTTGCGAGGAGGAACCTAAAGCAGCAGCTTTTTGGCTGGTTTTGACTCCTCGTTACCCATCGCTCCTGCCCGGCCGTGCAATTAGTGGGGTTTTGATCTTTAGGTAAACGCTGCAGCT